GTGAGAGGTCAAGTATATAGATACTAGAATATAATGTTAAATGTCAGGTTCCTCAGAAACGTTAGGGGACACATGTTGACATTCTGCACAGCAGGTGCAGAACTCCGTACAGGGAAGGCCAACAGAGAGGCACTGGCACTTTCCACTCTCTCCACACTTTGCATCTTTGCAATACAAGTGAGTAATGTCTCTCACTTCTGTAGGTGCTGGGGGTTTTGTAAATAGCACTGGTTGAATGGCCCCATCTCTGACAATCCACCCCTTGCCAACAGGACTCCATAACAAGGGTTTGGGTTCGGGCTGTGACACCATATCGCTGTCTGAAACATTGCTCTTTACATGTTGTTGAAATGCATCCTCTGTTGGCGGCAGATTTTCCGAGGCTGCATCTGTTGTTGATGCAATTATGAGCCTCAGTTCATCCAAGTTTGTGCACATCAGTCCAATTTCCTTTTTTACATATAGCAGAAGCGCAAATTCTCTTGCGACTGGCAAAGACTCTTCCAAGCTGGCAGAGAGTCCAAAATGAGCCAGATCTTTGAGCTCGCTGAGATGGGTCTTGAGTTTGGTGAATGCTGTTGTCTTTCCTATTCTGTACAAACTACTTGTCTAAAGTTAAGTTTACAGAACTATAATTCAGTATTTCTTTAGTCACCTTTCCCATATTCGGCCTGGTCTAACTTGGCTCTTTTTCAGGGGTTGGGTAGTTCTAAAGAACAACCAAAAACATTTTTTTCCCCCCAAAATAAAATTTCACAACAATCAATTTCATTAATGGGGGACCCTAAAGATCAAAAATCATTGTTGTCATTTGCTCTACCTCGGGTAGGGGTATTTCAAAAATCTGAGGGCCCTTCCTGCTAGACTAGTAGTTTATCTGATGTTCTATCTACAGCCACCACACACACCAGTAATGTTTAGTTTCATTACTCCAAAAGCTCAAATGAACTCCTAAAACTAGACCCCTTGAAGTGTTCGCTTTTTGCCTTGTCTGTGACCTTTGAGCTCCACTAGTCGACAGCCTCCTTTAATGAAGCAGTAAGAGCATGAAGGCAGATAACAAGACTGCCGCACTGCTCCACTTTTGTACATTTCAACGTCTCAGTGGTCTTTAATAAAAAGGCCAGAGGAAATAGGCAGACAGGCGCACAGTCAACCCTTTCTGATCGCATGTTTGTGGATCCTCAGTGTAAAATCATGTCTATGTCCATGTTTCTGATGATGCCCACTGTGATCTAAAATCTGCATTAGGTTTTATTTTCCTGTCTTTTGTCAATACTCCCGATCTGATTTTGAAGGTGATGATACAAACAATGTCCAGTTATTGCGTCTTGCATATCTAAATAATATGAGTCACATTAAACTACAGCTACTGTCTGAGCATTTCTAAAAAAGCTATTTCTGGAGTGAGCAAATTATGGTGCAGAGGCCTTGTTATTGTTGCTGGAGGCATTTAAGTGCCACCATCCTAATGGCTATACGAGGGCTTCGGTGAGGGCAGGTGTTCTGGAAAGTGTCAGCGCAGGAGAAAAATGGAAGCACTCAGCAGAGAGACTTCCACACATGCACCCACACCCACACCCACCTTCACATTCTCCCTATTTTTATTGTTCTTTTGTTCATGGTGGTATTTCTCTCCTACCCTCTTCGCTATATGGTTTTTCTCTCATTAATCACAATACATTCACAGACAAAACTACTGTATGTCCTGAGGCAAACTCACCTCTGCCTTTCTATTTCCCCCAAAAATGTTGCTCTCAGCTCCTCTGTCTCCTTCCATCCTTTCTGGATGCCTTGTATGACTTCTCTGCACTGACCTTCCTATTTAAACCAGCCCACATGCCAAGCTTCACCCAGATATCATTGGCAGTTAATGTGCAGAAGCAGCACCTGTCTCCATAATGATACAGAGCTCACTGCTGAGGTTTGTTTCCCCTCTGCCTCCCTGTCTCTCTCCTTCTGCAGACCTGAGATGAATTTGCTGATAATGCCCCTCAGCGCCCTGTTCTCACTCGGATGAAACTTTAGGTTATATTCGTGGCCTTGGCTGCAGGGGTTGGGGGTGAGCGTGTACGTGCTTTTCTGAGTCTGCACTTCTACAGCACCCAGGAAACGAACTTGGACATAATGCACCAGCTGGTTCATGCTGAAGGAGAGCGCGTACGTGTGCAAACATTTTAACTTACACATATGCATATAACTAACCTGCTCTTTGACTTTATAATGACTACCACAAGTTAAATTGTTTCATCATGTTCTGTAGTTTCATTAAGATATTTTACTTAACAGACAAATACAAGAAAAAAGTTGTGTATTCCCAATTTCATATAAAATCCAAAGTATTTGCAGTAAATGTATGTTAAATTATTCAATCAATAAGTAAAAGTACTTATTTTGCAAGATGGTTTTATTGAGAGTGTTATATGTATAATAGCGATGTATTGAATTTTAATAGCTTGATAAAGTGTTTGGCAGTTTATTCCATAACCTGAAATGAGCAGTAACTGTCAGATTAATATAGTATAGTAAAGACTACAATATTTCCCCCTAAACTGTGTTTAAAAAAATCCCTTAAATGAAAACACTCAACCTCAAATTATAATGAAGCACAGTAGTTGACTTGATGTACTTAGAACCAAACAGTTACCATCTGTTGTTCTGATCTGCAGAGCTGTAATGTTACTAACATCCCAAGGAAACCAGATTGCCAGCAATATTTCTTCTCTTTTCCTTGAACAATGGCTTGTGAGCTCTCTCAGTATCATTGCAACATCGACAGATGCTAATAGGATAGAAAACTGGCAGCCAAATAGACCCCTAAGCAGGACACTGTAATGAGGAAAGGGCCCCTGGGGGCTCCTTGGGGGACACCAGAGATCCATACTGCAGCTGGCAGCCTGAAAGGATCCACAATCCAAGAGAAGTGTCTGTACCGGTGACATGGTTTGCTACTTTGCTTCTCTCTACAAGGATCCAACAGCTTGAAAGAAGCTGTTGTCATAAAAAGGGCTGAAACATGGAAACAGACTCCAGATAAACGACTGCAACTGTGTTTGTCTGCAGACACGAGGCCCGTCTGACCAGTTAGAGAGTTTCTTGGAATAAATAGAGACTTTTAAAGTTTATAAGCTGCTTTTAGGGGATGGTTAATGTGCCGCGAGTGACTAACAGCAGAACTGTAAACACAGATGGAGCATGATGGTATTTACTGTAGACCGAGCCATATTGCAGCATCATATTTACAGGAGGACTAGGAGCTAGAAATGCATAAAATGTAAATCCAAATTTTTTTTAGATTGTCCTCATTAGAACCATGAGGATGTCTCCACTAACTGCAAGCCATGAAACACTGAATGAGCTAACTGAAGTTTGTATAGTTTTTCTAATTAATCTGCATCTTTTTTTAATGGAAAAAATGTGAACATCTGGTGCAACAGACCTAAAGGTTCATTATTATCAACCTATTGTCAACCTAAAATAATGGTAAAATGTGTGCATTCATTTATCATTAAAACACATTTATAAACTTTAGTCCCCCAAATTGACAGCCTTGCATTGTGGTTGATAATGTAGCCTTAACAGTTAATAAATGGTAATGTATTACATCACAGCAAGAAGTTTTGATGGAACATTTGAATAACATGTAAAAATCAAATAGCAAAATGTTAACTCGTTGCTTATACATGTAGGTGCAATCACAGTATTGGATTTATCAGCAATTTTCTACTTTTCAACATGTTTTAGGGGTTATATAAACTTCACACTTACTGACACCAGATTGAGTAACATAACAAAATACAATGCATTTTGAGTTCAGATTTGAAAGAATACAAACTCCACATAACTTAGTAACTCATAACTCTCTTGGCTCATTAGCAGCTAGACGCTACAGGGATCACAGGCAGTCATCGTTAGCTAGACAAACACATGTAATGGATGGCCATTGTTCTTCAACAGGTGCAAGCAGCAAATACTGAGGAGGGGGAGGAAGTGATAGAGAGATAATTCTCTTAGCTCTTGTGTGTATTGTGAATTCACATGTGTGTGTGTGACTATTCTGTGTTTTTGCATGTGCATTTTTGGATTGTCATGAATGCCGCCCCTGCATGCCACAGCATCGTCCTATTGTGGCACTGCGGGAAACTTAAAAGTCAAGCAGCAGTGTCTGAGCAGGGATATTCAGGTCTTACCTTTGTCCAGAGAAGCGTCCGGGGAGTTAAAGTCCATCAGACTGCTGATTTCAGTCTTGTAGCAGAGGTCAGTGGCCGGAGATTTCTGCCTCGGGTGGGAAGAGGGGTCTGAGAGGGAAACAAATGACAAAAAACTAGGTTAAATACCCAGAGAACCGAGAAAAAATGATATGGAGCTTGAGCTACACATTTTGTTTATTATTTATTGTTGTTTATTGTTTATTGTTGTTTATTTTGTTTATTATTAATCAAATAGGTTCAAACTAAAATATGAGGACCTTCAATTACTTGAATTGCTTTATTTACATTATAATTAGGTCAACCCAAATGCATTTTCGGTACACTGACAACTCACGGAGAGATTTGGAAAGATAACACATTTAGACAGATAGTGGAATTTTTTTTTTGCATTCTTAGAAATAAGATTTGAGCTAAAGCATTTGTAACAAGAGTGTTTGGAAATACTACCACATTTCAAACAATTAGAAAGAGAAAGCAAATGACAAATTAATATAGTAATTTTTGACTAATGCTTGTGAACGCATTTAAAAGGGCAACTGGAGATGTCCTACTAACAGTTATTTAAAATGACTATGGAGACAGCAATAGCTAAATGAGAAGGAGAGCAACTCCCTGTGTACGCCCAAACCTCATGATAATGAATAACATGTTAAACTGCTCATTAGTTTTCCTCACAGAACGCACGAGGAAACAAAATGATTAATTCAGCACGCCACACATCCCTCTCAATACGTACATCATGAACTTGTATTCCTCTCTCGTTACACTGTACTCTCCTAACTCCTCGGTTTCTATTCATCAACACAGCTACTGTCTCCGAGGAGAGTGTGTAGCAAAAGCATCCCAGCCTAAACACATGAAGGCACACACACAGTCACTACTTTGAGAGACTGCTGAATATAAATATTAGCATTTTTATGACCAAAGTGTGATATGATTCCTGGTGGGGTTCAGTTACTTCTAAAAAATAAGGTTTGGCTAGCCTCCCCAGTGGTGTGTTGTGAATGATTATTAAATGCATTGCTCCAGGTCAGCTCACATAAGAGTTCTTCCTAAAAATGATTTTGTCACTTCAGCATGTGCACTGAAGTCCGCTTCCTTAGTAAGTACAATTCTCAAAAGTGTAACTTTTTAAAAGAGAATTAGTCTGGCAATTTTCTTTAACGGCTTTTAAGATGATGTTTTCCTCACACACAGTTACATTCAAATTCCAGCCAACTACATCTCTTTGACTTCACTCTTCAACCTCTGCTCCTCTTCCTCATCCTGTTCCATTTTCCATCAGTCCACCACCCACAGAATAAGCCGCTGCTATAGTTTGATTTATTTGCAGTATTCTTTGCACAGATGTGCCTGGTTGAAGAGCTCCCGGTCTTGGGGTGTTGTTGTCATTATGAAGTGATAAATCTAACCTTATGCTGACACAAATAACAGCCTGGCAGCCTGTGCCCAGCAACAATGATTGGCAAGAGGGCATGTTTTTTTTAATAACTGTGGATTACATTTTGCCAATCTATACTTGTTCCAACTTGCCCAGGGCGCAGCCTATGGCACCAGCAACACAGTTTTTTGAATAATGTTAAAATTCACAGGGTGTACTTATCTGCTGGCTTCAAGCTGCTGCTGCCCAGTAGACTCATGAACATGTTTTATGTTCCTCACACCGTACCCATGACAGGCCTTCACTAACATTCAGAAACTTACCAAGGGAAATGTGTGTCGGAATAAATGCAAAGGAAAAAGTGAGCCTTGATGGTTGCTTGATGTGGATGGAGAGGAAAAGCGATATGGGGGGTGGGGGGAGTAAGGAGGATGCAATCAAAATAGGTTCAAACCAAAATATGAGGACCTTCATTATTATAATTTCTTTATTTACATTATAATTAGGTCAACCCAAAGGCATTATAGGGGGTTTTGTTTGTTTTTTCCTACCCTGTGTTGTTGTGCATGTAAACGGTCTGCAAAGGCTAAAGTCCATTTGTTACCTCCAGAGGAAGTGTTTCTCCCACAAACTCCACAAGCCTATTTAACCAAAAATAAACGAAAATTCACATTCACATGGATTCATGTGTCATTGTATCATGTAAGTTGACATTACAACTGGTTCAGTAACTTATTTGTAAGAATCAATTGCCCAACATTAAGAAATTGGCTGGGTAAGTAAGCAAAAGAATAAGCATGCAACGTTTCATTATGAGAGAGTTCCCACTAATGTTGGTACTAATCACAGAAACAAGCAAAATCATAATGTGAATACATAAGGGCAGATTTAAGGAGTCAGAATAAGGGAAGGGTGTGTGTTTGTCTATATAACAAGAAGCAGGAAATCATTATCACTGGCTGGCCTGCAATCAGTCCCCAGAGTTAGAGGTCTGGACAGGCTGCTGATCTTATTATCGTTTCAGTTTTTTAGACTTAGTACTGATTCGTGCAGTGTTGTGTATTTGTGGACAGCAATGCTTTTCGTTCACACTGAGTTATCAAGCAGGTCATTGTAATGTTGTCTGAGTCACCGTCAAAGCTCCTGAATCAATCTCCCTTCAACACACTGAATATCTTTGCTCCAATAGCCTCATATTGATCTTTTGGTCTTTATCTCAGCTCACTAAAGTCAAAGTCACATGCAGACAGTGGCACAGCGAGGAGATAGACACACAGTGGGAGGCACGAATACACTGGATGAGGTATCAGGGGAAGAAAGTATAGAGGAGTTATAGAAACAATCATAAATGTAATCTCTGGCTCTCAGCATTTGCTATACGGTGCTAGGCTACACCTTGAATGTGAGTGAAGCTTTCTGTAAACCTCTACTTTCACTTCTTCTTCAAACCATGTTCGAAGAGATCTATTAAGGATTTGAGATAAGAGGATAATTTCCTCTCCGCTTCCAGCTTCTCTGTCCGTTCATTTCCTCTCGCGCAACCAGCATTCTTATCTGACAAAGACACAAGCTTGCCTATCTTCTAACTGCAAGTGTGGCTGTGGGCCACACAGTTTATATTTTGGCATAAAATGAGATAATCAGTATGTTTTGCAGAACCTAAAACGATGCCGTGTAATTAAAATCAGAAATTTGGAAATACAGCAGGTTGGTATGGTGAGATTGGCCATCTTTCCACTATTTTAATTGAAATCCCAGAGAACGGAATAACATTTTAACATCGACATGTTCAGCTGTTTGAATGTTCCGTGTAGAATATTTAAATGTCCACATTGCTTTCGTCAGCCTTTCAAACCGTTTCCTCACATTTAGTTGTTTAGTTTTTTTCTGTGGAAAGTTTTACACACACAATAGCAGTGAAGGTATTGGTTGTTATAATCTTGCCGGCTGTATTGCGTTCATAAGAAAGCAATGAACTGCACTGCAGCAGAATTGTATTTGTTATGTCTTTTTAAACACTGATGAGAATTTATCACACCTTATGGCTTGATTCCATTTTCCTCCCATCAAACTCCATCAATTTCTTTCATCAATAATACACGGTTAAACCAGCCGGGCATACAACTCAGGGAACAGGTAATAATTCGGGTGTGATTTAATAAATAATGATTTGGCCCACGGACTAAAACAACTGCTGTTCATCGAAACCACTCTCCAGCAGAAAGGGGGGGCTGAAACAAATTGGCAGTTGCTCTAAACAGCTCTTTAAAATAAGTTTTACGAACAAATAAGACATTTCAGTACAGAAATGCCATACTAAGTCTAACGTTATTTTAGAAACTTTTGTGTATGGTTACTTTAAAATGTGCCCCTGATCAGCAGTTTGTTCTCTGACTATGAAGAAGTTACACAACTGAGTGTCTTCAGTGACCCTGACTATCGTCTTCCATACTAGGTTTAAGGTTATCTTAGAAACTGTCGTGTATATGTTCACACTAAAATGTGTCCCCAGTGACCCTCCCGTGGGAGTCTGATGCTAACCTTTACAATATTGCAGCAAAACTTACATGGAGGACTCAGCCTTTGTCAACAGGAGCGCCCTGTTGTTACTCAGTGGGGAGTAAACACCGAATCCCGTCAGTGAGAGGTCTCCCAGAATAAACTATTCCCTCAAAGAAAGAGAGGCAGCAAAGTCTCCTTTACCTCACTGAGTTGAAAGGAAGTCAAACTGCAGACTTCATTGTGCTTTAAAAGGACATTCAAACAGTTTGTAGTCGGGCGGATGGTAATCCTTGAAGGGAGGGAAATATTTGGGATTATGAGACTTTTAAACTCTGCCTTAGTTTGATTGTTGTTGTTGGTGTTACTGTGAGTGTCACTCAAAATAGGTCTCATTTATCATTTATGTTTGCCGTTGCACATTACAATGAACAGTGGCTTATTGAAAGTTAGGAAGTATTAGCATTTATCTACAAAGTCCCATATGTCTGTCTCTAAAGGATGAACTGACAGCAGTTGAAATGTCTTGATGTATTTCTCTGTAAATGTATCATCATCACTGTAAGATCAGTGATGCAGCCATTATTACAAAGCCAGTAAGCTGTTATGGTTCTGTCGGGAAACACACAAGCACAACATTCATCTTTGCTTTATCCTTCTGAAAGGCTCTGACAAGTCCAACCACTCAGGATGACTTTACTCTCCATTAGGCAAAATAATAATAGACTTCATCTTCTGAAAACCTTGATACCTTCACTTGAAGGTAGCAGGAAGAGAACCGTTACGCTCTAGCAAGTTAAACGATTGAGTAAAACCACCAATTTACATCCAGTTACCACACCAACGTTGAAATTCACAGGTTTACGGAGATGATTGCCGAGATAATTCAAGCAGTTACAGCTTTAATGAGCTGCACTGTGTAGGATTATGATATAAAACTTCCCACATTGTAATGCTCTCCTGGTTGAATGTTCCAACAGTCTTAACGGGGCGATCGAGATGAATTACTTGTCTCTACATGGCCGCGCAATTTCTCACATTCCCGTCACCACCCTTCTCCCTCGAGCCCTTTCTTCTTCCTCAGCTGACTGACTCCACCACTCCAACGTCACCTCTTCTTTTCCCTCCTCATTTTCTATCTTTTTCTCTGTCGCAGGTTAATGGGGTACTCCGAGCTCTTCACTTTTTCTGAGCATGCCAAATTTTA